AAAAAAAAAAAAAAAAAAATAGAAGGCAAACATACCCATAAGGGAATCATAGCAGGGAAGTTAAATGGGCAAATCCCAGCACAAACACCAAGTGGCTCTCTAATGCTATAGGTATCAATTCCATTCGATACGTTCGTCACATACTCTCCCATTTGTAGTGATGCCATGCCACATGCATGTTCAACCACCTCTTCGATGAAAATACCCATAAATTAGATTACCCAATTAAAAAACCAATGTCTATTTTTTCATAAAGACTAAATCAAGTGCTAACCCAGGCCTCGGAACACATCTCCTTGAGCGTCCTTCAATGTTTTCCCTTGTTCCGTGGTAATATTCAACGCGAGTTTGTCCTACACCACGAGTCCATCCACCATCAGTCAATATACTACCCCAAATGCAAAAGCAAGAAAAAAGTAATAAAAGAAATATTGACCCACTGACCATATTCTTACGAATAAGCTCTTGGAGCTTAAACATGATGCGCTGTCGTGTTGTGATTGGCGCGTTTCTCCAGGCTGGAAATGCCTCTTTAGCAGCGGAAACAGCAGATTGGAACTCCTCCTTTGTCGTCAGGGGGACTTGTGAAACTACCTCTTGTGTTGCCTATGCTCAAAATATCAAATAAAAAGAAGTTGTATCCATTGTATGCAACTACAACAACAACTACAACAAAGCCTTTTAGTCCCAAACAAGTTGGGGTAGGCTAGAGTTGAAACCCAACAGAAACAGTGGATCCATTGTATGCAACTTAGAAATACAAATATATTGTATCATTCTGATCAACTTACCGGATTTATCACATCAATGGAATCAGACGAGTGTGAATCTACAAAGCTACCACCGATTAGATTAGGAACCCTCTGCAAAGACATATAATTACGATATGCATAAGCAGGTAAAAAAGGACAATAAAACCAAACTATTGTGCGGCTATCTTCCATTACTACCTTAAACCATCAACGAGAAGCATACAGATCATAATAACTTATACCCATTAGTCAGTAGTAAATCTTTGATTACCCCAACAACATACTGATTTCTTTGTTTCCCCTTTTCCATTTACACTTTGATGAGCATGTGGGCTTCTTAAAAAAATCATTCCAATCATCAATTTTTTACATTCTATATTCTACTCAAAGTTTTATTACAAGCAACTAAAATCATGAGACACAAGCATAATCATTATTACATCCTCTGCAAGAATCAACAAAAACAATTAGAGAAAAAGGAACTCACCAGGGAGCTCCCATGCCTCCAAGATTGTTCCGCAGCGGTTGAAAATTGAGAATACGCGATCCCAAATATCCGAGGATTCAAGCTCCTCATGTTTCTTGCTGCTGCATCAAACCATTCAGTGCATATAACAAACACATGAACATGGGAAATCTAAAAACAATTCTTGAATCCATGCGGCAAAAATCACTAATTCGTAATTGAAAGCTGGAAATCGTTACCTCGTTGGATTGAAAGCTGCAGCATATTTCCCTCAGAATTTCTTCAAGTGAGACGAGAGTTTACTGTACTGGGTTTATATTTCTAAATGCTTATTTATTATTTATGTAATTAATTAATGCAAATTGATGGAATCTTTATCCATTTGCGGGAGTTGAAGATCAAAACCTTGTTAGAAGGCTACTTGGTTAAAAATTAGCACGATTTTGTTATGAAGTCAATAGTTGATTCTATAGTGGAGTCGACTTTCTGTATACAACAAATAAACTTACCATATTAATAAAATTATATTAGTGTTATTTAAATAATCAACGAATATGATATGTTTACTTATTATATATAAAAGGTTGGCTCTACTATGAAGTCAATTGTTAACTTCATAGCAAAACCAAAAATTAACAACGGGTTTGGTAGTATTCAAATTGTGTGTCATTCATTGTCTACATACTTTATTCATTTGTTGGCCGAGAAGCATTTATTTAGAGTTGAAATAATTAGGGAGATGAAGAGATCCATGGGCGAGCGTGAAAGTTTGGGATAGAGTTGATTTGGGCCGTAATGTGTATTACCCCCAATGGGCCAAAATCTATTGATACATAATACACCTAGACATTTTTTTTTTAACTTGGCGGGCTGGCCCGTCAAATCGACGGCCCGAGGCGGGGAATGGTTGGGCCAACATTTCTTAGGCCCGCTAAGATGGTGGGCCAGCCCGCCCCGCCTTGCCAATAGGCGGAATTTGGTGGGCTATGGGCCGGCCCGTGCAACTGGACTGTGTCGACAGCTGACGATAATAATCGTCAACATATGAAATTGTATTTTATTCATTAGAAATTTTTAATTATGCAATTATTTCAATTATATTTCATGGACACTAACTTCAATCTTGTTTGCACAGTTATATTGTATTAGTTTTTTATTTGTAAGTTTCTTGTGAAGTACATTTTAAGAATCTCTAAAATATCCAAATTAAATAGGAAGATTATAAAAATATATATTAAAAAAAAGTTAAGATAATATTTAAATGTGCCTAGACCAAGTATATAAATTTGTAACATCTACACGCTCTCTGACCAAACAACTCTCGAGGTGACCAATTTATTAAACTACACCTACTTGTTTTGAGCTGAAATGAGAAGTTGAAGTCAACAGTTGGCGCCATAATTGTGTCAACATTCTATATACAAGTTTGTTTGTTGTATATAGAATGTCGGTTTTGCTATAAAACAGTTGACTCCATAGTAGAGCCAACTTTGTATATACAACAAATAAACTTATCGTATTAATAAAACTAGTATCGATCCTGTGCATTTGCACAGATGTAAATAAAGTATTATGAGTAATTTGTATGCTTATAATGATTAATTATTTTTATTTTACCTTTTTGCTGGCTAAATTTACAATTAAAAGAGTTGGATTTTTTTTTAAATTGCTTTTATCTGATTGGATGTAATGTAGATTTTGGTAGGTCTTTTTTTGTGAATTATTTATTATATATATAAGAATTTCAAATACATTTTAATTTAAAAAAATTAATTTAAATGTAACCACTAATAACATCTAATCACATTATACGATCAACACATTGTATGGTTAACTGTCAGTAATCAAAAGTTTAATTTTTTTTGTAATTTTGAAGTGATTAGTGTTAATTATTTAATAATTAAATAAAAGATTAAATACATGAAAAGTAACGGTTTTTGGAGGGAAAAATGTTAAATTGCCACATAGGTAAAATTAAATAGGTTTTATTAAATGCTATTAGCTAGTAATTATATATATATAGATTATATTAGTGTTATTTAAGTAATCACAGAATATGATAAATTTACTTGTTGTATATAGAAGATTGGCTACACTATGAAGCCAACTGTTGGCTTTATAGCAATATATTATAAAAGGTTGACTTCATAGCAAAACTGTTGAACGAGAGTAATTGCAATGTTAAGTTGACAAGAAACGTTCATTCTTCGTCATTCCTTCCATTAATTAGTTTGAAAGAATATTACCTAACATAATAACTTATGGTTTCTACTTAATCAATGAGCAACTTGCAACTCATTAACTTCATTTATTTTCCTATAATGTGGCTATAGCTCTAGTTCAATTTGCACTGGAAGACGTGGACAGAATTACATGCAAGAACAAATTTGTTCCTGCCTTTAACATTTAGTCTTTTTGGGTGATCGATTTGGGTACGGGATCAATTACCATTTTAGGGGTTCGAGTTATTTTAATTTCCTTCCATTGCAGGTCAATCCGTTTCTTATATATAAGTATAACGGACAAAAACTCATGTTTGGAGTGGATTGTGAGACGGTTTCGTCAGGCCGAGTGGTCACGCGAGGGAGAGAAAACTTGTTATCGATTGCTTTTCAAGATATGTCGTGAAACCGACGAAGTAAACCGAACCATCATTTTCAACTCTACTTGGGATGGGCTAGCCCAACTAGTGCACGAACTCATGAGATAATGTTTCTCGTTACACAAGGTTCGTTCTAAAATACGTAGCCTGGGGACACATTTCCTCGAATTCCTTCAATAACACGACCATTCTAGGCGTTAGCGTGCATGATGAAGGTGGACTCGTAAGTATGCATCAGACGTACTAGACATACATTAGAGAGGTTGCTGAGTTTGGCAAAGAATGTCGACTAAATTGTTCGTTATTAATATGTTGGTTAATTTATTCGTTAATTGATTCCTAAGAAATTAATCCTAAGCGCAACAGATTTAATGTTTAGGATTAAAACCTTACAGTTTGTGTTCATGACGACTTAGAAACGACTTGTAACAATAGTCAACGAGACCACGCGAACGGATCTGCCTCGTGATCTTAATATGTCTTATGATATATATTCCTTCACCGTGGTTGAGCGTCGTGTGGTCGATAATCTCCCGAACGATGGTGGTCGGCGTCCCTCTCTCTTTTGCACATTCTCTATCCTTATGGGGCTGGCCGTATTTTTGAGATGTTCTAGTAAGAGAATGAGAGCAACATAGACCTTTAAGGAGGTTAGAGTTAAGTCTCCCAATAAAAAAATTGGGTTGTGGACCAACCTATTTCTTAGACCATTAATAATAAATCGGTCCACTAAATATTTGTTATTGCACTATCTTTCCCAAACTGAAATTACTTGGGCACTATAATATTTGATTTATCTCTCTATGTTTAAGATACTGAACGCCCATTAATTAACCTAATACTGATAATTTAATTAATTAACATCTTTGTTTTCAAAAATTAGTACCACTCAACTTCATTATTATATAAAATAAAATCCATCGACAGGGTTTACCAATAATAATTCTTTTAATCTTATTTCGGATATATCATCACCCAGGCCCACTAGGACGCAGTGCCCGATTATAATCAACAGGCGCACCATGTAATTAATCATATTTTCCAACTCACCGAGTCTATTCACTTAACGAATAAGTCGCACTCTTTGGTGAATTAAACAGACAATTATTAAATACACATGTGCCCGTTATTATTATCTGGATTTACAATATGAGTGATATCATAAGGTCTAGTTTATTCACTAGGTCAGTATAAAATAAAATTATTATCCGTTGTCCAATTCAATACACACAAAGCGTGCTAGTATAATTTATTAGTGAAGATAAACTAATTCCAATTATACTATATCCATACAGATAGGTTTGTCCATTTCTATCTCGGTTATGAACCATATTTATATTATACAAAGAACCGATTACATAATTTTCTATGTGACCGACGCATACTATATTCTTTTCAATCTAAATAACATGACAAGTTGCACTTTCATTCATAAAGGTAAAATGCAAACTCATTTACTAAACATGTTGTTGATACCCAATTTGATTCTGATTAAATAAATATATAATAAATAAATAAAAAACAACAACACAATAACCAAGGAGCCGAAAATACACGATAAATAAATATACAAACAAGTTCTCAAGACTGATCCCTCGAAAGCTGATCAGGTCCCCAGATGTCGAGTTTGCCCGTTGTCGAGCCGAACAGTATTTAAAGTAATTAGATGACGCATATATCGTGGAGAAGCTACCTTCGGCAGACGCCACAATTTTGTAGAATACAAACGTCACTTGGAACCGTCAAAAGTCACAAGCAGGCCCCGCGATAATTATCTCACTTTAAAAAATAGTGTATTATCTCTTAGTTATCTAAATACTCACTTGTTAAAAATGAGGGGATATATATGAGAGGGGGAGGAGAGAGAAAGTGGACTTTTTTCTCACCTTCTCCATTTATCTCCCACCAACATAAAAAAAAAGGGAATTTTCTCCAAAATAAAGAGGCACTCATTTTATGATCTATTTTTTTTTTTTTTTCATTTTTCGTTCAAGGAATTCATTTTTTATAGTTGTTTGATAGTCTGATTTTCGACATCATCAGTTTGGCGTTAGAAGAAGGGCTCTGTAATTTGCTCGATGGCAATTTTTGCCGGAAAGCGGCCGCATCTTCATCGGAAAATCGTCTCCTCCATGTGTTGGCAAGAATGTTAAATTTTTATGCTATTTTCTTTGCGTTGCTTTACCTCGTCTTTCCATGAGAGTATCACAGACCTCACCACCTCCATCGTTAAAGCTCATGCTTTTCTGACTTCTCTCTTCTATTTTATCTTCCACGCATGTACCATTTAACACAATCCTCCACGTCTTTCAACGACTGATACCATTTAACACCATCCTTCACAGTCATTCATGTCTCTTAGCATAGAACTCTTGATTATTTCAAATGGGCTCACAACATTTTTATATTTATTGTTCATATTATATAACCCTAATTACTTTTACATCTATTTCGTGTGAGCCCATCAAAAAAAAAAAAGGATCTCAGATCACAGATCTGATTCATTTTTCTTCAACTCCTGCAGCAATTTCACGTAACAACATATTTTTCTTATTATTTTATTTTTGCTTTCTTTTCCCTTATTCTTTTTTTGCTAAGTAAAAATTAGAAAAAAAAAAGCCATGATACTTGGACACAATTTGTCCACATCACTACCACACTG